CCCCTGAACCCTGGCTGTGTGTTAAGGGAGATCACTAGATCACCCCCTATCCTGGACTGCAGCCTTGACCTCTGCCATTTCTGGGGCTTCACAAGGCCTTCCACAAGGCTGCCTTGCTCAGGTTAAGAGCGCCCTGCCCTCTCGCCTCGCCGCATTCCTCACTGGAAGCTGGAAACGAGGTGCTCCTTCTGCACGACTTTCCAGATCTCCTTCCTCTCTTCCAGCTGACAGCGATAAAAGGAATCCTTCTTGAGCTCAGCCTCCATCAGGTTAAGGAACAACTTGGAGATCGCCCTCCGATTGGCCAGGAGAGCTTGGTTGATCATCTAGGAGTAGAGGTGAGACAGCCAGTGAGGTGTGTGTAGGTTGTTTAGGGACCGTTCAAAGTTACAACAGCACCGGAAAAAGTGAGTTTATGAGCCTTTTTCACACTTAGGACTGTTGCAGTCACACTTAGGACTGTGGCACGCTCGGCTGCTGCAGTGCCCCGGGGTCCTGTGATCCCCTTTTGCAAGCGTCTGACAAGCACGGTGTCGTGGAAAAACCCAATGGAAAAGACAAGAGACAGCAACACAACACAATAATTCTTACTTTTAAGATTCAGAGGTTTTATTTTTCTAATAATTGGGAATATAGCATTACAAAGCATTACTTACATTAACAACGCATTGCAATGAGGACAATAAGGTATAGCAAAGTACCTATTTTGCAATTTCATATTGCACAAAGCTCAGCAGGTTGCAAATAATACGTCCATATTGCGAAAGAATATAGAGTTGGAGTTAAAGCTTTGTTTTAAATCACGACTGTGGGGCCGATCTCAAATTTGCTCTAGGTCCGTCTTGTCACGTGAGGAGGGGGGGGCTATATTTTCATCTCCCACAGTGGGGAAGCCCGATGGTCAGTAAAGGAATGATTGTATTGATTGTAAGAATCAATCAATTGATTCTTACTGCAGACACCCACACACCCAGATCTTAAGAAGAAGGATCTTACCATGGCTTCCTGGTGTACGAATCTGTGGACATCCGAGGATAAGAGATAGGCAAGATCCTCTAGCATCTTGGTGTACTTGCTCAGGATGACTGTGATCTGGAAATGCAAGCAATGTAACAGAAGAGCAGAGTTGGAAGGGACCTGGGAGGTCTTCTAATCCAGCCCCCTGCTCAAGTAGGAGACCCTAAACCATTTCAGAATAAATGGCTGTCCAATCTTATCTTAAACACCTCCAGTGATGGAGCAACTGCAACTTCTGGAGGGAAGCTATTCCACTGATTGATTGGGAATTTCCCCCCCTTATTTCTAGGTTGTTCATCTCCTTGGTAGGTTTCCATCAGTTGCTTCTTGTTCTGCCTTCAGGTGCTTTGGAGACTAGATCGGCCCTCTCTTCTCTGTCTTCTCTTTATAAATTTAGCCTGTGTCTTCCACAGAGGCTCACCTGTTCTGCTCGGTTCACCTCGGCCCGGTGTAAAGCTTCATCCAGTTCTTGAATCCACTGCCTTCTTCGCTGGGTCTCTTGAAAGAGAAGACCCCACATTTTCTCAAAGTCCTGGAAAGAAGAAATGTGGCGTGACGTGACACCCACTGCATTCACAAGCGACGTCTTGTAACCAAGAAGCTTAATGGCACAAAATATTCTGTGGCGAGTCTTTGAGACTTATTTCACTTATTTTCCTTCTCTTTCTGGAGAAAGACAGGTTTAGGAGGGCCATTCAGAATAGTTTCCACTTCAGCTTTCCGTGGAAAAATGCCTCTTACCAAGCGACAGAAAGATTCAGCAATCAGCACTTTTAGAATTAAAAACACCCTGCAAGAGACAATTTTCAGCAGAAAGCTGGAAGAATAACATCTAAAAAAAAAATGGTCTGGCTCAAACTCCACAGCTGGTTTATTTGCTCCCAAAGTGGGAAAATTAAGCACTGGAGATTTTTGGAAAAAGGAAGCACCCACTGACCTGTATGGTGTAGGAGATTAAAGTGACGTCGCTTTCAGAGGCACGAAAAAAGGATTCAAAAGCCTCAGCTGATTCTTGTAACTGGGTCAACAATAATTTTCCAGGCTTCACATAACATTCTTCTATTTTCTGAAACAAAACCAAGTAGAGTTTTGGCAGATGAAACAAGACCGGCTTGGATTCTGACAGGATTAGAAGTAGTTCTCAATTTATGACCCCAATTTGGACTAAAATTCTGGTAGTTTTGGTCGCAAGTTGAGACACGATCCGACCATTTTTTTTACGGCAGTTGTTAAGTGAATCTCGTGGTTATAAATCCAAATCCACTCATCTGGGCATTTATTTATTTATTTTGCCATTTCAACGACCGGCCATAACTTGAGGACTTCCTGTAGAAGGAACAATAAAAATCGGGCTAGGGCTTAAAACAGCCGCCTCACCTTTCCGACGCGTGCTAGTTCCTGCCGGAATTGTGCCACGGTTTCTTCGTAACATAATTTTTTGTTCTCGTAGATCCGCTCCACGATACTGCTGGATCTTTTCTCTGAAACTGGAAGGGTGGATTTCAGACAGGGATCAGGCTCCTCCTGCTTATGGGCGAAACCCTGGTTTGTGTAATTATTTGTTTAATTGTAAGAGGCTGGATTTGGAAAAGGGCTGTTTCCTGAACTTCTCACCAGCCACAAAAATAAGAAAAAGAGTCAGATTCAAGAGGCAGTTGGGGTAGTGGTTAAGGCATTAGGCTAGAAACCAGGAGATGGTGAGTTCTAATCCAGCCTTAGGCACAAAAGCCTTTGGGCCAACCACTAGGAGTCTAGGAGTTCTAGTCCTGCCTTATGCATGAAAGCCAACTAGGTGACTTTGGGCCAATGCCCAGGAGATGGTAAGTTCTAGTCCTGCCTTACACATGTAAGCCAGCTGGGTGACTTTGGACCACTCTCCCGCAGCCCAACCCACCTCACAGCATTGCTGTTGTGGGGAAAATAGGAAGAGGAAAGAGTATTAGGCACTTTCATTACTTGGAGCAATTTATAAAAATAATAAAGGCACGATAAAAATAAATCTTAGAAAAAAACCCCTAAGACTCTTCTTCCATATTCCTAAATGTAAACTGGGGTTTTGCAGTGATATTACTAAATAAATAAAAAAATATGGATGTTTCAGTTCAGCACAAAACAGCAATGTCAGCACAATTAAAAATGTTAATATTTACTGATGACATCGGCAAGCCCTCTGACTTCCCGCGCGGCAATTACATTCTCGCTTTCTTTAGCCTTTACGTGTGCCAGAGTCACAGCCTCCCTGCAACAGAAAACGGAAAACTTGTCGGAAGGTTGCAAAAGGGGATCACGTGACACACACCCCCCCGGGACACTGCGACCGTCATAAATATGAGTCAGTTGCCAAGCGTCCGAATTTTGATCACGTGACCAGGGGGAAGCTGCAACGGTCGTTAAGTGTGGAAAAGGGTTGTAATCCACTTTTTTTTTCATTGCTGTTGTGACTTTCAACGGTCACTAAATGAACTGTTGTATAGAGAGGACTGCTTGTACTTAACAACCTCTTTAGCACTGTCCTTCCTTACTTGTACTGCACTGGATTTTCAGTGAGCTGATCATTGGGCATTGCCTCGATCCACGTCTGTTGGCGTTCGGACAAGAATCCATAGCTGGTCCTTCTTTCCAAATCCCTCACTAGCGGAATCTTTCCCGGAAGGACTTTGTGCCGGCTGATCTTGCTCCTAGCTCTCCCCAGGGCGTGCACCAGGTTGATCTTGGCAAAGCAAAACAGAATGGAAGAAAAATAGAACTGGCTGTGATGATGATGAGGATGAGGATGATTATATTTATTTCCCACCCTTCTTGCCATGGGGATACTCTAGGCAGCTCACAAACCACAAACAAAAACAAAGAAGTAAAAAGGAAATTTAAACAAAACAGGAACAAAATAATCGAAAAAACAAGGAAAAAAAGAAAACAAAGAAAATACATTGATAAGACTAGTAAAATAGCACAATGGGCCACTTTGATGAAAAATAAAAAAAATGACTATTTTTCTTTCTGGATGGATGGAGACGTTTTGCTGGATAAAGATAAAAATGAAGTTTTGATCCTGGGATTTGGTGATTAGATTTGCTAGGTCTACAGAAATACTGGGTATCATTAGAGTTTTACATGTTTAATGTTTTTATTTGCTTACATTCAAAAGCAGAAGGTTACAGATATTTATTACAGAAGTGCCTAGTACTATTGTGTGCATTTGTAGAATGCAAGGGAGGAGGAAAGAAAGGATAAAATGAATAAAGATAAAAAACAGAAGAAAGAGAGGGGTAGGTACAAAGGCCCGCAGAGAGGAAGGAAGAGAAGCAGAAAGAAGGAAAGAAGGTGGAAGGAGGGAGGGAAGGAAGGAAGGAATTCCAGCTAAAGCGTGCAGTTTTATTTGCTTACATTCAAAAGCAGAAGGTTACAGATATTTATCACAGAAGTGCCTAGTACTATTGTGTGCATTTGTAGAATGCAAGGGAGGAGGGAAGAAGGGATAAAATAAAGGAAGATATCAAGATAAAGAACAAAAGAAAGAAAGGGAGGGGTAGGAACAAAGGCCCACAGACAGGAAGGAAGAGAAGCAGAAAGAGGGAAAGAAGGTGGAAGGAGGGAGGGAAGAAAAGAAAGAAGGAATTCCAGCTAAACCTCCTAAAAAGAGAGGGGGAAGCAAACTTCTTCCAAATCCCATTGACTGAGTTGGATTAATTCCTTTTTTTGGGGGGGAGGGGGGGAAATAAAGCATAAGTCCATCCCTCAGGCCTCCATCCCCTAAAAATAAGAGGGAATTTCATAAATAGGCCATAAAGCTGAGGTGGTGGGAACCATTGTTTCCCCTTTTCGGCTCCTGCAGTCTTTGCACCTCGTCATCGAAGATCTGCCTGTAGACCTTCCCGCTGGGAAGGACCCGTGCAATCCCCACCGTAGTGGTGATGGGAAGCACGTGTGAACTCTTGCTGGATTTGCACATGGCGGGTTTAACTGGAGAAACCGCAAAAGAAAGTAAACAAGGGTTAGAAACAAGTGGATTAAAATATTTTTCTCTCCCCCCCCCCCACGCCCTGTCAAACCTTCGGCCTCCTCCCCCCACCTCAGCCGGCAGAGCCGACCCACCATTCCCAAGACCACGTCCAACCCGCGAAACCCGCGTCTCCGGTTTCCATGGTAACAACTGCAGGCGAGGCGGAGAGGCCCCGTCTCGCGAGAACCCGCGGGAATCCCGAGCCGGCTTCCTGGTCCTCTCGCAAGCCGTTGCCTCGAGACGCCCGCGGTTGCTAGGGGAGACAGAAAAGAGCGCGAGGATGCTCTGGGCTCCCGCTTGGTCCTTTTTCTGGCCAACCATCAATGCCAGGGATAAATAAAACAAATTTATAAAAATTTATGGGCTGTCCATCATACCATCTGGTAACCATTGTCCTCCCCCCTCCCTGCATCAAATGCCAAAAATTCAGCATTTTATCCATTTTGGATCATACGTTGTCCAAGGAAAACCACTCCTGCCATTGGATGGGGCTGACAACAGATTATTCCCCAGACTAAGGCTGGGGAGGGCCGATTCCAAATTTGCCAGAGCTCCTGCCTTTGATTTTTGCTACAAAAGCAAGATCTGCCCTATCACAGCCCAATGCTGTGCCACTATTTGCATCACATACTATATCAGGGTAATGTTAATTTTGCTGTTCGTGACTCAGTGCATGGGGCAAATCCAAGGTTCTGTAAAAATGTGAAAAACCCAGGGCCTTATATAAATGCAACTGAAGGCCAAGCCATTACCTGGGCACAGAAATTTCCTTCATGTATGTTTGCACTGACTATCAAGTCGCTCAATGAACACTCACCCACTGGTACTTCTTGCACCAGCACAGATTCTCATGAGATTATAAAAGAACAAACTGCAAAAACATCTCAGTTAAAGATATATAATATAAGCAGGCTTCTAGCTCTGCACTATGTGTCCAGATATGTTTATTTGAATTCAAAGATGCTTCACTTTTGGCATATCAAGCTTGGATAGAGGAACTGATGTGTGTCTCGGTGACCACTGCTGAAAACAGGATAAATTGAGCTTCATTAAACTCAAGCACATTTGAGTTGAGGGATGCATTTCCTGTATTTCCAGGAAATGTAACCAAAAGATTTATCCCCAAGACGAAATTTACATCCTGTAATATTTTTAACCCGGTCATTTAAAATCTAGGAAGTTACAAAACTGAATGTCCATTTTTGTTTGCATTTCAACATATGGTATAAATCCAGGCAGCTGGGTTGATTTATAGTTTCATGTATTATACCAAACAGTATACCAAATCAACAAACAAGCTGAGAATGCAGACTAGAATAGAAAATTTAATAATCCCCGCTTTCCTTTAATTTATTCCAAACATTAAGAGGATAAATGCCATCCTCTCACCCCATGATTCTACTTAACAGGACTTCAAGTCTCACTCCCCAAAACAGGAAAGGATAATTTGATAGACAACGTGTGGAAAGAGGCAATCTAATGACTGGTAGAGAGACTTCAGAAAGAGGTTTGAGGTCCTCCTCAAACTAAGGGTTGACCCAAACAGACTTGGTTGCATCATCTCCATGTCCCATCAGCTCAGAGGAAGATTTTTGTGGGTTCTCTAACATCCATCACACTATTCATCCAAACCCAGATTGGGTTAAAACTCAGTTTTTGCACTTAGAGCCAGCTTTCTTCAGATCTTCAGGAAGAATGCGGCCTTTCTTCCGAGCTTTAGCCTTCTTCTTCTCGATCCTGTTCAGCTTCTTCTGCTGGATGTTCTTGCGACGTTTCTCTTGTCGCTGCTGCATTCTGTCCACCACCTGCTCTGTCCGCTTTTCCCATTTCTTCTGACGCTGGGCCTTACGCTTCTCCTTGCGTTTCAGGGCGGCCTTCAGCTTCTCTTCGTCATCACGGATCTTCACACCTTCTGCCTTGTAAAGAACATTGGTCCACTGCATCTTTGCTTCCAATTCCTTAGCTTTCTCCTCATCTTTGGCCTTCAGCTCTTCCAGCTTAGTCTTCCGAGACTCCAGCCGGCTCAAGAGTTGCTTATAATTCTTGCCGGTCAGTGGCGTTATGTTGCCTTTTACGGATTTTCTTTTATCCCCCTTCTTCTTCACTTTGTTCAGCTCCTCTTCCACGTGGACCTCCACCTTGTTAAACAAGATGTCAGCCTTGCTCTCCACCTGCTGGGTCTCCGAATCCATGGTGGATGACGCCTCTTCTGCTGTTTTCTGCTCTAATTTCTCCTTCATTTTGATCTCTTTCCTCCGGCGTTTCTTTCGCTCTCGTTCGTATTTCCTTCGCTGGCGCTTCTCCAGCACGGTGGGTGACAGAGCTTGGGCACCGGCCTGCAAGAAACAGGAAACAATCCAGAAAGTCAGTTTAAACTGCACTGCTCAAGTGGACAACCTTGTCCCTAATGTGGTAACTCCAGAAATTCCAAACAAAAAGACGATCACACAACAAACTACTGTAAATTGAGGACTATCTGTATTTTAAACACTCCCCATGAGGGTGTGAAAAGATATGGAATTATTGCAGTACCTGTCCAGAGGTCAATGGCTATATTGCCAGATCAGTGATATAAGCCTGAAGGTAAAATTGAAAATAATACTCATTTTCTCCTGGACCTGGAAAGATAACTTTTTAAAACTTATGTCTCCGTCTTACCTTCCCAGATATTTCTTGAATTTTGTTGTGTAGTCTTTGCCGCAAGAAATCCATTGCAAAATTCGTGTCAGATGTCTTATTACTCCCTGGGTACATTAAAAAAAAAGATGAAAAAGTATAGCCCACCCGTGCAACTTCACAACAATCCTGTGAGGTGGGTTGGGCTGGCTTTCATGCTCAAGACATGCACTAGAACTCTCTGTCTTCTGGTGATTGGTCCAAAGTCACCCAGCCAGGTTTTGTGCCTAAGGTGGGACTAGAACTCATAATCTCCTGGTAATTCGCCCAAAGTCACCTAGTTTGCTTTTGTGCCAAAAGCAGACTAGAACTCACCATCTTCTAGGGATTGGCCCAGTCACCCAGCCGGTTTTCATGCCTAAGGCAGGACTAGAACTCACAGTCTCCTGGAAAATGGCCCAAAAATCAACTAGCCAGCTTTCATGCCTAAAATGAGACTAGAACTCAGTCTCCTGGTGATTGGACCAAAGTCACATAGCCAGTTTTCATGCCTAAGCAAGACTAGAATTGCCAGTCTCCTGGTTTCTAGTCCAGCATCTTCACCATTAGACCAGACTGGCTCAGTTCCCTTTCTATCACATTCTTACCTGTAACACCAGGTATTGCCGGTGTTTCTTTCCCATTTCTTTCCTCTGCACTGGCACCAGGTGTGATTGGAGTAACTGAGCCTGGCTTCTTAGCATTGGAACTTGCTGGTTTGGCTGGCGACGATTGGCTGAATTTGCTCCCAGAAGCCCCCACCGTATTTTTCTTTTTCTGATTTTTTTCTTTCTTTTTCTTCTTCTTGGGCTGGGTGCTCTCATCCCTCAGCCTGCTTCCCGGCACTCCTTTGAAAACAGACCAGTGGATTTATTACGTATTTAATTTATACCTTTACTTTTATTATTTTTACAAATAGCTCAAGGCTGCTAATATATCTAATACTCCTTCCTTCTCCTATTGTCTGCACAACAATCCTGTGAGGTGGTTTGGACTGAGAGGGAGGGACTGACCCAAGATCACCCAGTTATCTTTCGTGCCTTAGGCGGGACTAGAACTCACCATCTCCTGGTGATTGGCCTAAGGTCACCCCAGCTGGTTTTTATGGATACGGTGGGACCAGAACTTATCATCTCCCAGTTTCTAGCCTGCTGTCTTAACCAATAGACAAAACTGGCTGTCTGGATTTCCCATTCAATGAGACAAAATGAAGATAAATCAGTTCCCATTGTCTAGCCACTCTTACCTGCCCATTTTAGAAAAATATCCTTTTTCAAAGCTCTAAGGTGAGTATTTTGAAGGTCTCAGATTTAATTAAATGATCCGATAGAGAAAGAAAAAAGCACAGTGGCTTTGCAGAGAAAGCTGCAACTTGAACTTTAAAAGACTGAGAAAAATAAGAGTTGCCTAATCCGCTAGTCCTCTGCCCGATCCTTTTAAAAATAGCAACTTTACTGTTCTATCAGAAGTTTCCTTCGAACGCCCAGAGCCACTGAACAGCAAGATGGGAGGCATATAAATTTAATCCATAACTAAAGTCAGGACGTGACTCTTCTAGATTCCAGTATATAGCAGCGAGCTAAATTGGTGCAATTAATAATCGTACCAAACTTCCTTTTTGCTGGCTCATGGACTTCCTGGGTGCAAATCTTCTTTGCCACCATTTGCAAGTAACAGTCCGTAGCAACTAAGCTGGCCATTTTAGAGTAATGCCCAACCAAGATCAAACCAGGTTTTCTCCAGAGGAAAAACACCACTGAAATGATGGGGGTTTCACATCGCCGTTTGGCCCTTCATCTGTTTTGCCACTGAGATGAAATCCTGTGCAAAGAAAAAAAACAACAACTGATGAACAGTGCAAAGCCATAAAGTATTTTTTAAAATGCAGAGAGAAGATTCAATTGATAAATATTTGTAAGACTTAAGGCCAACTTGGATGAATGTTTAACATCTATTGTCTGATTTTTTCTCTTGTCGCTTTTATCATGTTCTATGCTCCCTAGAATCACTTGATAGATAGAAAGAAAGATGGAGGAGGAAGAAGGGAGAAGGAAGGAAGGAAATAGATTAGAGGGTGAAAATTTTTTTTGCATCCTCTCTCTTAGCTTCCCTTTTGCAGAATTGGGAAAGAGGGCAAGGTTGATAGTTAGCAGTTCGCAAGCCAAAGCCCCAAACTTCCTGAGCTAGGAGTCTTCGAGGGCTGGGGAAAGAAATCCATTACCTGGTGGTGGTGAGGGGGGAAGGAGGGTATCCGGAGCGGGCTCAGGATCGGGGGGCGCAAAAGAGGCGCAAAAGGAAAAAACCCACGCGCAAAGCAAGGCGCGCTCGGCCAGCTTTTCACCCACGTGGCTGGAGAGGTAGGCTTGCGAATCGATCCACCCGATCTCTTTGCAACCAGATCGGGGCTCGATTGCTGCAGCCTGGGAATATTCTGGGATGGCGGAAGGGTGGGTCAAAAGGCAGGGGCAGGGCGAAGAGGAGGAAGCTTTGCGCACGTGGTTTTGCTGCTGCTGCGCGCTTCCCGGGGATCGCGGTTTGAGCGCATCTGCACGGCTTCTCGTTGCCCCGATACGTTTTTTTTTTCTTCCTGTCCCCTCCCAAAAATGGAAAAATAGGGTTTTCAGCCCAGAGAACCGGGCTAAGCAGAATCCCTGAACCATTTCCCCATCCTATTCCGTTGTGATATTGGAGCGTTTTGCTTTAAATAGCTCCAGTCCTTTCCATAAACTCAATAGAAATGAGAAATAATAGCAGGAGATAAATAAACTCGCATCTAGCTCGGGATCTCGTTTTCGATGCTAGTTTTGACTCAGGGCTCCTAATTTTTTTTTAAACTAATTAAGCAAACCACAAAGCCAGCCAGCATTTTAGTACAGGCTTCACCTATATTTTCAGTTTTGTAATGATAGGACTTAAAACAATAGCTTTGCACCAATCTGACCCTTAAAGCACATTTTTGAAAGATGTAAAAGTGATCCGCCCTCTGCAGCTGACTCACTAGAACACCACAACATAAATTAACCCCGCAAAATAAACTTGTGTCTTATTTTGCCCTTCGGGCTGTGACATTCTTTCCAACATCGGTCTTAATTCTGCAGTTAAGTACATAAATTCTCCCATCAAAACAAACGTCTTATTTTTGAAATTCAGTTTTGTGACGTCCTTTGAAACATCTGGATTCAGTTTAGTGACAAGTCTTTCGACACAGACACTCTCCAGGTTCATGTCTTTGTGTTGGAAAGAACTTGGGCACTACTAAACTCGGCTACCTTTATTTCAACAACCTCGTACAATAAGGAAAAGAATACGCTTAAAAAAGAAACAGTAAATTTTACCATTAACAGATAAATCTTTCACATGTCCAACAGGTAAATGTCTCTCTAAGGTTACCTGGTTTTTGAAATCACAACTCAGGTCTAGTGTAAAAGTTGTGGGTTTCTTACTATCACTGTCTGGTACCTTAAACCCCACTGGCTGGATTTTTGGGGGTTTGTAACTCAACAGTATTTGGGGACCTGATGTTTTTCTCAGAGTCCCAGAAAAATAGACTTCATAACAACACACCGGTCATTTTCCTAGTCTGAGCATCTCCTTAAAGAAATGTCTTGAGTTGTGATGTTAAATATCTTCTCACAGAAAAAAAAAATATTTCCAGAATATCAAAGCTGTGTTGCAACCACGAATGAGAGGGAGACAGCTTTTATATATGTTGTCCTCAACTTACGACGACTGAGGCCAAAATTCTGTCGCTAAGGAAGACAGTGGCTCACGGAGCTTTGCCCGTTGTTTCTTGCCAGCGTTGTTAACTTCCCCATTGATTTTGCTCATGAAAAGGTGACAAAAGGGGATTAAAAAAAACCACCAGGGATTGCTACAACCGTCACAAATATGAATCAATGCCAAACCTCCGAATTTGGATCACATGACCCTAGGGATGCGGCAACTGTCGTGTGTGAAAAATGAGCATACGTCCCTTTTTTTCCAGTGCCATTAAGTTTGGTCACTAAATGAACTGTTATAACTCAAGGACTGCCTATAATGCCTAGCGAAGACACCCAGCATGTTTCCTATGCAATACAAGGTATTCCTCGTCTTACGATCAAAGTTTCTGTTGCTCAAGTTTATTGTTCCAATGCCCGCCTGCGTGCAAGCAGGGGATCCCTTTTAGGGGTGCTCGGGGGCACCCACTCCGTGCCCGTTGATGTGCGGATGCAAAGGGACCGAGCCCTGTGCGCCGGGAAGATTCTGCTCCATCGCGCCGGCGGTGGCGGCAGCCACGGAGGCGGTGACGAGATTTTCCAGAGGTGACCCCGCCGGTTCCTGTCCCCAGTAGGCTTCGGAAAGAGAGAGATTGGCGGCATCGCAGACGCCGTAGCTTGGCGGGAACGAGAAGCCGGTTAAGGCAGCGAGGAGCGTCAAGGAAAGGGAGACAGAGGCCGGAGGGAAAGGGGGAAGAAGGAAGGAAGCAAGAGAGAAGCAAAGGCATTACAAACACAGCAACACGTTTCAGAAGGCAGTAGCAACAAATTAGGATGGGGGGGTGTTCCCTTTTCAGAACCAGGGTTTGGCCTGGGGCTCTTTAGAAAAATATATATATATTAATCCTAGGGGTAAGTCCTGGACTTACAATGGGTGATTTAGTGACTGTTCGACAAACGGCACTGGAAAAAAGTGATGGCTGTTTTTAGCATTTACAGCATTTCTCCCCCCCCCCCGGCGTGGTGACATAATCACAATTTAGCAATTGCCTCATAGTGTGTCCCAGGGTCATGTGATCGCCTTTTGTGACTTTCCGTCAATCACAGTCATTGGGGACACCAGATTCAATTAACAGCCAGGCGACTGACTTAAAAAACTGCAGGGGTTCACTTAGCGTGGCAAGACAAGTCATAAAATGGGGGCAAAGCTCACTGGAACAAATGTTTCACTTAGCAACGGAAATGTTGGGCTTAAATGTGGCCGTTAAGTCGAGGACTATCTGTATTTTGTAGGGGGGGGGGAAATCTCCCAAATCCTGCCCCACCTTCTTCCTTCTCTGCTCCAGAAGCCCTGCTCAGAAGCCAGCAGAAATTGCAAAAAGAAGGCAGACAAGTTGCGAAAAAGAGGCAAAGCCAAGCAGTAAGAGACAGCAGGAGAAACAAGGCGATTCTCAAACAAGCTGTGGGTTCAATATATATATATATAAAACAAATAAATAAAAAATAAAATAAAAACCAGCCCAAAGTTGACATTTATCTTTTTTTTTCTTCCCACCACAGTTTTATTTGTAATAAAGCTGCAGCATTCATTTAGGGAATCCTCATATATACTATTAGAGATATACGGGGGGGGGGGGGGGAGAGACACTAAGAACATCATCAATAAAATAAGATCTGGCTTATTTCCGACCGAGGAAGGGAGGGAAAAAAAACACCATTTAAATCAGTGTTTCTCAACCTTGACAATTTTAAGGCATGTGGACTTCAACTCCCAGAATTCCACAGCCAGCAATGCTGGCTGTGGAATTCTGGGAGTTGAAGTCCACATGCCTTAAAATTGTCAAGGTTGAGAAACACTGATTTAAATACAAAACTGCAAGATTGTCATGCAGTGTTTCCCTTCTTAGAAGTTGCATGGAATTGCAAACAAGGAAATATGAGTGGCTCCATTTTTTTTAAGGATGGCCAGAACCACCCTAGAAATATTAAAATAACAGTTTTGGTTTTTTTTTAAATCAGTTTTAAGTCTCGGAGCGCAGCCTCTGTCTCCAGGGTCAAAAAAAGAGGCCACGGTGTGGTTATAAAAGCTTCTCCGTGGATTTTATTTGTACCTGGAAGAGTAATATTCCTCTTCCAGTTCGTAGAGGTCGACGGAGATTTCATCCCGCAGCGCAATCAGTTTCTTGTCGCATTCCTCTTGGAGAGCCCGCAATTGTTGATTGCGTTGGTTGATGGCTTCGTTGACCGAAGGAAAATCATTAAGGATTAAGAATTGTTTCAGATCTGACACCAGCTTCATGAGGGACTCACCGGCTCGGACCTGATGGAAAAATGCATATACAATGGCACCTGGGTACTCAAAACTGCTTTGAAACTCATCCAATTTGGCACTCAACGCATTTTGCTACAAACATTTTTTCTCTCGATTCTTATTGTTTGATATTCAACACACAAGCTAAGAACTTGTCGGTGTCGGCTGCCTTTGTGACTCACTACATTATTCCTCCTGGGAAAAATTTTGTTTGGTGCTCATCATTTTTGATTACTCCTCGCGCCCCCCGGAACCATGAGTTTGAAAACACGGCCAAATTTTATCAGAGTAATTAGCAATTTCGGTCATGGGTTATTTCCTTCCCATTTTCTGGTGGGACCGAATTAAAACCCAATTTGTGAGGGCGGTTGGCAGGCTCAGCTCTTCTCGCTAACGAAATTAATTCAGTTTACTTTATCTAGTTATTTATCAATAATATGCATAAATAAAGTTAACTTAATGAAAGGCAGGCATCGCAAAGCAACCTTCGGCTGGAGAACTCTCCGATCCAGCCCACTCACAATATTTGCTGCTCTGACGTGCATCTCATAGTTGTCCTGTTCGCCTTGTGTTGCACGAGACACTTGCGTTTCTTCTTCGATCTGAAAAAGGAAGCAGGGACAAAATCCGAGAATCTGGGTGTTTTCCTGATACCCAAGGATAAAACCACTTGATTTGTGAACCACAATGAGACTGTCCCCTTGTCCAAGCCGATCGCTTCATCTCAAAATGCAGGCTATCTTCCTGCACAACAAATGTCTACACGTACTCCTTGACTTAATTGTTGAGCAACCAAAGTTACGACACTGGAAAAAGTGATCAACAACCGGTCCTCACACTTATGACTTCCTTAAGTCAAGGGTTACTTGTACTTTGCTTGATTTCCAGGAATGATCATTTTATTCCTTCTGCTATGAAAGTCAATGTTCTGGCCCTTTAAAAAGCTGTCGAGAATTTCCCCCCCTGCTAATAAAATCAGTTTTTCTGTTTCTTTGCATTATGCAATGTTGTTTGCTCACTAGACATTTTCACAGCATGAGGAATATGGCAAAGAAACCACGGTGGCTTATAATGAGCCAAAGTTGAGGTCTGAAGAATTGGGAGGTTGGGAAGAAAGGTCTGTTCCCAGATATCTACCTTTGCAGATTTAATGATTTCCGTAAAGTTGTCCATGATGGATTTGACATCATCTTTCAATCTCTTGTTATAAGACTGGAGGAGTGTTTCTTTGCTCTGGGGTAGGACCCTTTGTTGCGACATGGCTGGGAAAGGAAGGGACCAAGAAATGGCATCACAAATTACAAAGTCCCGGGATTCAAAGAAAAATGCCTTAAAAATCAAAATCTGAAAGCCATGTTTTGTTTTAAAAAAATGAAATATTGCCCATAAACCTTGCGTTTCAGTTTTCAGAGTTAAAATTGGCACTTTGTGTCAATGTCGGCCACGCGTCACCTCTATTGCCCATTGACATCAAAAAGAAAATTAAAAAGAGAGGCCGTAAATAATCCAGCAACGGATAGTCTAAATTCATAAATACACACTTGTGCATAGGCATGCGTGTCTGTCTGTTTGTAACGTATATGTAGACAAATAGATGATTTGATTGATAGACAAATCTATCAAAACTGAGGAGCTGGAAACCAAATCACAGAAAAGGGTATGTTCCAAATTTATTTAACTAACCAAGGGACAGAAGTGGAAGAAAGGCTGCTTTCACACTACACAATGAACCAAAAACTAACCACCTCCATTTTAACCTATTGGCTGGTCACGTAGCTAATTCAGGGTTCAGAGTGTAATGCAAATTCCCCCCCCCTCTCTCCAACCCCTTCAAATCTAGCCTCCATTAACCATGAAGTAGAGCACCGTGACAATAAGGCTAATGAGGACTAGAGCCTTGCTCCACACATTTAAAAGACCAGAGACAAAGTGGTTTGAGACAGCAATGCAATTATTTATTTTTTTTTAAAAATCCATGTTCTCACCTTATCAACATCCACCCTTCTTACTTCCGCTCCTTAAGCAAGCATTTCTCATCCGAAAAGAGAGCTTTCTCACGATTGGCCGAATTAACCCATCCTGAAAGATGATTGGCTGTTCGGGGAAGGAGACTCTCTTCCTGTTGTATTGGGTTGTCCCGATACGAGGACTCTCTAGGAGCATGCAGAAGCCGGATGGTCGCTTGTCGTCTCTATGGTGAAAGCCGGCTGGGGAAAAAAAAAAAATCGGTCTTCCTCTTCCGCAACTTCCCGCGTGGTTTAGCGCCCACCTCTCGCGAGAACCAGCGCGACTGCGATATACTACCCAGAAGGCACCGCTCTCTCTTTTTCTCCCTCCAGCCAAGATGGTGAGTCCCCGCGACGTGTTGGGTGTACCGGATCTTCTAATCCGGCGCCATCCGCCCATCGGAGGGCCGACTCGGGGGGCTTCACCGCGCCCCAGAAGGCCAGGAACCCCACCGAACCGGAGTCAGCTACTATCGGGAGGGAAAAATAATGGGAAGCCGGTGCTGGGCCGGAGCTTCGGCCTCGATGCTGCCGCTGCTCCAGGCATTATCAGTCATGCCGATCGGGAGGCAGAGCAGTGACTTAGGCCTTGCTGGCTGAGGAATTCTGGGAATTGAAGTCCGCTTCGTTTCGATGCCGCCAAGGTCGGAGATCCCCTTGAATTAGGCAGAGCACCAGGGAATCTTCAAACTGGACAACTTTTTTTTAAGGTTTGAGGACTTCAACTCCCAGAATTCCCCGGCAAGCCGAGTCATGCCATGCTGGCGAGGGAATTCTGGGAGTTAAATCCGCCAGTCTTCAAGTCGCCAAGATTGGAGATCCCTGACTGAGAGCAATGGACATCTTAGTTGCTAGTCTAGGCCATTAATATTAGTATTATTTATTGAATTTATATAATATGCTAGTCTGGGGCATTAATAGAGTTAAAATGGATATTTGTAAGTGGATTCGCACTTGGTTGGGATGTTGGGAGTTCTAATCCGGCGCCTAGTCTGGTCGCCAGCTTTGGGAACAGCCATTTGGGAAGTCGTCAAAAGCTTGGGAAAAGGTGTATGTAGGAGATGGGGCCTTTGCAGATCTGGAGAGAGGTGGCTTGAGCGATCCTGGTTTAACTTGTGCTTCCGTCTTTGCAGCCGAAGGGAAAGAAGGCCAAAGGAAAGAAGGTGGCTCCGGCCCCTGCGGTGGTCAAGAAGCAGGAGGCCAAGAAGGTGGTCAACCCCCTCTTTGAGAAGAGACCCAAAAACTTTGGCATCGGTGAGTTGGGAAGGAGGACGTGGATGGTGGGAATCTGGGCCTTTCCTTTCTTGCTCATCGTGCAGGGAATGGGAAGAAAATGGCTCTGTGTCAAGAATGTTTTCATAAATTTATTTGGTTTGGAATCCTGGGTGCTTCTGAGCTTGGTTGTTTTCTTGCAGTTTATTTCTTGCAGTTTATTGCCGTCTTTGGACAAATATGGAGATAGTTCCATTTGGAGAATACAGATACTGTGCCGCTTTCAACTGGCTGCTTCCTTCGAAAACCGTGAAAAGAAAATAGTAGCCATTCCAGCTTAAAAAGAAAACTCCTGTGGTGCTTACGGTCACTTAAGAGACCCTCTCTCAAAAGCCCTTTGGAGCAAGGCACTGAAACAGATGCCTTGGTTGTGTACTTGTGTACATTTTCTTGTGTGGTAGTTAGATCTCCTTACAAGCCTGCTTTCACTTGTATGTATCCTGGGCTGAAAGCTGTACGTTGACTGCTAGTCAGAAGTCATTTTCAAAGTGCTGCTGTTACAAAGCCCTGAATAGGTTGGAATCAAATTATCGGGGAGATTTATTACCACATTTTAAACATTCTGGAGAAATTGCCCTGCTTCAGCTGTATTACAGCTGTTGAGATGGGCCTCCTGAAGGTTAGGGAGACCACACTTTCATTATATATTAGAAAACTTAAATTGTTGCCCTTGATTCTTCGTGGAACCTATTTATTCTTTGTTGCTTTTGCTGTTGCTGAATAACGAAATAACAAGCTTTGATATTTCATTGAAAAGTTGGCATAGAAAACAAACAGGAATGCAGAAATACATATAGATTGAGGGAGGGGGAGAACCTGGTCTTTTGGGTGGTGGCTGATCTGTCTTTTGGGGGAAGTTTGTTTATGACACGTATACGTCGCTCATCGTACAATCAAACAACTCTTGAAGTTGACTGTTGTGAAAAGGGTGCAAGCAAATGATGGACAAGAATATTTGCTAACTGAGTGGCAGTGCTGACAAGCTTACCAACCAAGATCTCTGATGCTATTGCCCCTTTTGGTTTTGGAAGGAAAACGCCGGCTCGCAAAACAATCCTCTTGAGTTTAATGCCGTATCTTTCAGGCCAGGATATCCAGCCCAAACGAGACTTGACCCGCTTTGTGAAATGGCCTCGCTACATCCGACTCCAGCGCCAGCGGGCCATCCTTTACAAAAGGTTGAAGGTGCCCCCGGCAGTGAACCAGTTCACCCAAGCCCTGGACCGCCAGACGGGTAAATTGTGATTTTTTTTTTTCTGTTTAATTATAAAAGGAAGGAAGCGGAGCGACGTATCTTAACACTTGCAAAATTCAGGGCTACAAATGAAATATGGGTCTTCCTGTCTGCAGGTAGCTATGATCAGAATTGAATCTGAAGTTACATCCATTAAGTAGTCCAGGTCGTTAACCAGGTCGCCACGCGACTGCACCTGATTTTATGACCACCTTGGGCGCAGTCTTTTAAGTGAGCAGTTAAGTAAACTCATTGGACCCAATGGACTTTTTTTTTTTTTTGTCTTTTGCCAGAAACTGGAGGTAAATGCTTTCCAGGAAAAAAAGCCATAAATTGTAGTCATGTGACTGGAACACTACAAACAGTCATAAATTGGGGGTGGTTTGCCAAGCACCCAAACTGTGATTATGGGAGAAGGGGGGTCTGAAACTTTGAAGTAGCTTTGGGGAGGTTTGTCTTAATGGTTGGTGACTGCTCCGGTCGTAAGTTGAGGACTTCCTGCAGTCTTAGAGGAAGGTTGAAATGGAGATGGTCAACAGCTTGCTTGAATCTTTCCCCCCCCCCCCTTTATATATAGCTGTATTTAAACTTACAGCGTGCATTTCATTGCTCAGAAAGTAATTTTTGGTGCTCAATTGCCAATTCAGAGCGTAGTGCCAATAAACATTTGATTTCAGGGTATGAATTTGCTGGCTAGATTCAAAATAATGTGGGGTATATGAAAAGAGGGGAGGAAGGGAACCCTCTTTCGGGTTTAGCCTGGAGGAGAAGGGGGGGGGGAGTTTTTCCTCTAATGTGCAGATGATGGAAGCAAATAACCTGAGTTTCTTGATGACTCCCAACCACCAAGATCGCTGATGCACAAGGATCCTCTATTCAGTTAGGAGAGCCGGCGAAGAAATCCTCCAGTTCTAATTCAGTGTCTTTCTCCCGCAGCGACTCAGCTTCTGAAGCTGGCTCACAAATACAGGCCTGAGACCAAGCAAGAGAAGAAACAGAGATTGTTGGCTCGGGCAGAGCAGAAAGCCGCGGGGAAGGGCGACGTCCCAACCAAAAGGCCGCCTGTGCTGCGAGCAGGTAAACTTTTGAGCATCTCTGCGTGGCGTTCCTAAGCTTGGTTAGCTACAAAGGAACAGCCTTCCCGGGGGTTTGTCTCCACAACCAGCTGTTGCGATGATGTGAGAATTTCTTCGCCTGAGCTGCTGAATGAAGAGCAAAGTTAGGGTTAGGCTGAGCTTTAGCAGGTTGTCCTATTCCTCGTTGGCGCCGTGTACGGTCCAGCTTAGCGAATGCTTGCAAATTTAAGTTTTACTGGTTTTTTTTCCCTTTCAGGTGTCAACACAGTCACAACCTTGGTGGAGAACAAGAAGGCTCAGCTGGTGGTGATCGCACACGACGTAGACCCCATTGAGGTAAGCAGATGGAGAAGACTTTTGTCCTTTTGTATTTCCAGATTTTGTGCTACAGGGCGGCTGAGAGTCCCAAACTCAACGCTGCCGTCTCCCAGGCTTTTGGGGTAAAGAAGCCACAGGTTTCAAAATAAACCTTTGGCTCACAGGCAGGAGGAATAAGCAGCACGTCACTCCAGTCAATATTTTCTCTTTTTTTTTCCCCCTTTCCTCTGATAAATTTGTAGGATGCAGGCTAGCCTGGTATCCTAAATGGACTGGGGAAAATGCAGGGAATAATGAATTCCTCGGTTGCCTAGTGTTAATCTTACTTTCTTGGCTCTGGAGAAATGGCTGCTTTGCATCACTCTTGTGCTTTCATAGAGTGACAAAAAAGGAGGCAAAACAAGCCAGAAAAGTTGTGAGCTTGGAAGTGGCTGTTGTTGCAAAGCTTGGGATTTGCTCGGGCTCGGCGATTGCCGTGATGTTTGAATTTCTTCACCTGACTCCCCCGTGGAGAGCAAAACTAAACGAGCTTTTTAACACTGAGCGATCGCCGCTGCCCGGGTCTCCCCCCACCCCTCGGTCGAGGTGCCGTAGGGTCCCCTAATTAAAGATGGGTTTCCTTCTCCCTGCTGCAGCTGGTGGTTTTCCTGCCCGCCTTGTGCCGAAAAATGGGAGTCCCCTACTGCATCATCAAAGGCAAAGCCAGGCTGGGTCGCCTCGTCCACCGGAAAACCTGCACTTGCGTGGCCTTCACACAGGTTAATCCGTAAGTAGCCTTTAAGGGAGATTTGAGGGGGGGGGATCCTGCCCACCTCTGCACGCAGCAGATCTAGCGGGGACTTGGTTCCGATGCCAGCTGAGCAGTAATTATTTCAGTAGCTGCTAGAAGATCATAAGACTTGTGGATTGGAGGCCTGTTAGGAGAGCAGCTGGATCCCCCCCCCCCCCGGGGACACTGCGACCGTCGTAAATATGAGTCGGTTGCCAAGTATCTGGATTTTGATCATGGCAATGCTGCAATGGCCATGTGAAAAATGGCAATAAGTCAACTTTTCCCAGTGCCGTTATAACTTTGAGCAGTGACTAAAGCGAATGGTTGTAAGTAGAGGACTGTCTGTTTCTGGCATGCAACTTTCATGTTGAAATGGTGGCCTTGACCCTCTCTTTTTTTCTGTGCAGTGAGGACAAAGGAGCCTTGGCTAAACTGGTGGAAGCTGTCAAGACCAACTACAACGAGAGATACGATGAGGTAAGACTGGCTGTCCTGTGTTTGGTTTGGCTTGCGAAAATGTAATCCACGGGTCTCTTAAGGGGCTGGATGTAGATTATATGTTTCTCGGTACTCTTTGTTAGCTTCTGAGTTACTGCAGTACACAATGATTTGGAAAGATAACTGTCATTTCACTACGGCAGAATCAACATTTTTCTTCCCCGCTTTCAAACAAATGTTGCTTTTTTCCCTTTCCAGATCCGTCGTCACTGGGGTGGAAACGTCCTGGGTCCCAAATCTGTCGCTCGGATTGCTAAACTTGAAAAGGCCAAAGCTAAGGAACTGGCCACCAAGCTTGGATAGACGTGTCAGTTTTTCTGTACATAAAAATAAAATTCTAAACAAAAGGCCCTTGTGTGTGTGCTTCAATTACTTTGAAGGGGTGTTTATAAGGAGTTGGTGAACTCGCAGCTCTCTGTCTGATTTTTATAGAATATAAACTAAAAACACCTAATGATCTTTCCTCTTCCTATTTTTCCCAACGACAACCCTGTGAGAATTACCGGCCCAAAGTCACCCAAATTGGCATTATCTTAGCCATCGTTCTCTGTCCTATTTTCCATTGTCCCCTCGTTCAATATCAGGAAGAGTTGAACACGATAAAAAGGTACAATTTTATTTACAGTCAACATTTATAGAAACATGATTTGTGTTACCAGAAATACAGGATTCCTCCAATGCCGAAGCCCCTTAGTTTTAATTTCTTGTTCATTGACTAGCCTACAGTTGAAAAGACTTTTTCTTCAAGGCTCCCTGTTACTTGAGTGTCTTGATACCAGTAATATTTCCCCAAATACGCGAGAATAAGCTTATTTTAAGAGAAGCCCTGGTTCCCAGGATCTTCTGGCATGGGTGAGGGTTCTGCTCAGATTGCTGATGTCCATCCAGAAGTCCCACATCATCTTTGAAATGCTCCATTCTATGACCCTGGGCTAGATGGCCACTTTTAAAACCGCACCTGGACCACGTTCTTCAATTGTAGGGCTCAGAAAGGCACCTTCTGAATGAATCTCTTGTACCACAAGAAGGAAGTGGCCGCACACAGGGCGTACCTGTGCAAAAGGAGCAAATGTTTTGATTTTCACGTACGTGAATATTCGGCTGGATGGTTTTGTATGATCCAGTTGAGCTATTGGTTCAGTAACAATTGCTTAATTTCTAGATTCCTTGTTTTATGAAGATAAATCAAGCTGATGAGGGGGGCAGGAGAGTGCTTGAAAAACTTTACTTCTGTATGGTTCACACTGTTAATCCGCTTGTGGTTTCCAAAAGAATTTATTTGGGCTCTGCAGAACTGGGCTATTGGGTGTGGAACCCCACAAAGGAGTAAGGAAAGGGACTCGTGAACGCACACAAGCTATCCACTCCTGCTTGATGTGGTTCTTCCATAGCAACTTTTCTAAAGCAGGGTTTGTCAGCTGACATTCAGAAGCCCATCTGTCTCAACGAGGGTAAATAATAGGCAATCCATAGCATTAGAATTAATTTATTGACATAATCAAAATGTGTTTGTTGGGGTTCTGGGTTATTAGGAACTATAGAAAATTCACCACTTGCCCTGGGCCGCTGATGTGTGGATTAAACCAGGGGTCCCCAACCCCCGGTTTGTGGACCAGTACCGGGCTGCGGCATGCCAGCAACCGGTCCACACAAATAAGCAAAGCCCCATCCGTGGGATGCAGGCAGTTTACAAAACCACGCTCTCCGGTCCATGGAAAAACCTCTCTCCACGGAACCGGTCCCTGATGTTGGGGACCTCTGGATTAAACCACAGGGGCACTGGAACCAACAAACGCATCCTGGTTTGTTTTAGGCTGATTGGAACCTTAGCATCCTGCACAAAGCTCCTGACAACTTGCCACCTATGCGCATAAACCTCGAGAAATAAAGCCTGAGGATTTTGCGGCAGCTTAACTTGTACGAGGGAGGAGTATTTTAACCACCTGGAGCACACATTTTTTTGAATTGGTGGATTGCTGGCAGATTGACACTTCCTCGTCTTTCCCACTCCTGCCAGCCAACCCCTCCCCACCAGCTAAAATAAATGTGTTGCTACTCACCAAGTAAGTATGTACTGCATGTGCTCGTTTCGTAAAGTTACTCGGGTCTGGCCACCAATTGGCCCCCCAGGAACGGAGCTTCCTGGGAGTAGAGAGAGAATCGGAGTTGGATTCAGTAAGATTTCATTTGGGTCGATCGCCCATTCAGTTCAATAAACTTAGATGAATCCCTTCAAGGCTCTCTTAAATATTGCTTCAAGGAATTAGACTTCCCCAACCCTCTGCCCTTGAGGCTTGGGGCATTTGAAGTCCCAAAGTTGGGCTTTTCTACGGAGACCACCACCCTGCCATTAAGACTGTGGGCCTGTCTTCCCAAGGGAAACGCATATCGATTGCTTCCCATTCGTTTGCACCTGGAAGCAGTCTTAAGCTTTAACAAATCTTGAAACACTCTATTTAGTACTAAATTAACCAAGATAGGTACACAGATTCCATGTGAGGGTTTCTGGGTCATTAATCCAGAATGTCACCGCTACATGTCAGCATGCCAGGGTTGAATTTCATCCAGATCGACTAGGCAAGCTGGGTTACAAATTCCGCCGTTCTCTGCATTTAGTAAGGAATTTCAATCTAAAATACTGTATTTGGGGGGCCACCAAGGCCTGTTCCACTCAAATGATTCCTTAAACTATCTAGTGGGCATCTCGATGTTAGCAAATTTTAAATTTTGCCTGTATGTAACATCCAGGAAAATCAGAAGGGGGGGGGGAGAGAGGAAGCAAGGTTTAGGGCACTTACTATAGTCTGCATCGATAAAAATAGGTTCCGCTCCGGTGACTTTGGCCATGGTGTCCAAATCACGGTAAAACCAAGTGTTTTGTTCAATGTTGTTTTCCGCCACAAAAGGCCTCCGAGGTTCTGACAGCCGCACCAGCCCGGTGAGTTCGATATCCGCTTGGATCTAAAAAAAAATAATAATAATAAAAATGAAGAAGAATCATCCAACTGTAATTTCTCTTCTTCAAAACGTGACTAGCTAAATCCGAAACAAATCTAGAAAGGAATAAAACCGTTTCGAAACATATGATCAATCATTTCGGTTATAGGTCCTATTGCTTGGTGCAGAATTTTCATTTTATGCCTTAAGGCAGGGGGTCTTCAAACTTGGCCCTTTTATGACTGGTGGACTTCCAACTCCCAGCATTCCTCAGCCAGCGGCATACCTGTCCCTTTAATCTGGTCTCTGGATTCATCTTCTTTCTGGGAACAAATCCTCTGTTGACTAGGATTGTTATCCTGCAGGGTTTTTTTAAAAAATAAAAATAAAAGGTACTTAGTGGGAACTTCCGCCCAGTTAATTCTCAGGGTAAGTGAGTGCAAGACTGCATTTTATTTATTTAAAACCTTAATCTAGCCCCCTAGCGTTCAACCAACGCTAGGCGGCTCCTTAAACCCGGTAGCTGATAATATATACACACCCAAGGTCAGTGCAATAAAAGGGAGTGATCACGTGGGCTCCGCTCTCTACGTTGGACATGATACGGCCAGCATTCCTGGCTTCTTTCTCAGCATCTACTGGGGAGCGTGGGAGTACATACAGCTCTTTGGTGTGGTCAAAATGACCTCTGACCTTGACCGGCACGTATTCCATTTCGCTCACTTCATAGAGGCTGTAGAAAAAGAGCAAGATAGGAAGGAAAATCTGGGTTATAGCTTAGACAGTAGAAGCCCCTGGTGAGAAAAAAAATCCCGCCGATTAATATCATTTATGATTGAAAGCAGGGCAGAACAGACTAAACTTAACTGCCTGTAATGGTAAAGAAAGAGACAACAGCCACAACTTGATATAAAGAAAACTTAAGCAAGCTGGCTGCTGAATATACATATCTCTTTTTAAATACCCAGAAAATTGTAATTTCCTACTACTTTTTGTCCTCATATAACATGGTCTCAGCCAATTAGCTGGCAACTGGAACAATTATGCCCGCCAGGGCTACAGTTCTCATAAAACTAGCAACAAAAAAATAGTTTGGAGTGAAATGAGGCAAGCCAAATTCTGGAAGGTGAACTTGCAAAAATGTGAGCATGTAGGGAAGCCTCTGCCCTGGCAGCCATTTTATGGTTATTTGTGTAGTACATTTTGCAAAGAGGCTCAAGTTACTCCAAACTCAGTAACTTTAAGACTTATGGATTTCAAGCTCCCAGGATTTCTTCAGCCAGCCATGCTGAGGGAATTCTGGGAGCTGAAGTCCACAAGAATTTGTTTTCTAGAGGACTGAAGGAAGTAGAGTGTATTCTGGGCAGGAAAAAGCAGCAGCAGTTTTTTCTTTCTGATGAAAATAAATAAAAGCTTTTGGGGGTCTTCCCACCACCATCAAAGTGGAGGTGCCCATTTGATGTTCTCAGTGATATTCTAACTCTCTTTACCATTCCCAAAAGACACTTACTCTGTTGGCAGTGGAATCGGTTCGGCAAAAACCCTGCTTTCCAGCTCAGCAATCAGCCTCAGCTTCCATTCCCGCCGCTGAATCTGACACAAAGCACAAAAAGTTGGACTTTTGTTCCATTGTGAAGGGGGAGAAATGCATCTCCATCTACAGAATTCCTCACTCACAACAGCCTGGCGTATCTACCCAGCACAATAACAAGCTTTTAAAATTCGTTCTTCTGAATGCATTAGAATAATAAGAGTAACATTTGAAAGAAATAAGGTACACACTTAAAGAGGCTTGCTCCACAAAAAGCTACCCTGAGCAATTATTAACGGATAGGCATTTCTTTAAAGAAAGGTTTTTCTGTCCAGTAATTGAAAACCAGAAGATTCAGCACACTGAACAAATCTTTTATTTTACAAGTAGTCCTACACTTACCACCACAACTGAGCCCAACGTTTCTGTTGCAAAATGAGACAGTTGTTAAATGAGCTTGATTTATACCACGCAATAGCTTGATTTATACCACACAAAAGGGTAAGGAAACATGAGAATAAGGTATACTAAGCTACCCAAAAATGTATCCAGACCTCAGTTTAAAAGATCCAAAGAGCCAGCCTTCACTTCAACAGTGTTTACCTGCCAAGATCCAAGGAAAAATGAACCTATTGGGATGAGCAGAAGTCCCCATTTTAGTATGTTTTCTTCTGTGGAGTGGGCAGTAGCAGCTGAGGCAAAGTTTCTCGCTGGACAAAGTCTCCAGCAAATCTCTGGGGAGAAAAAAAGAGAAAAAAATAGTATTAGTGGCAAAGCTATTCATAAAAACTCGGAGGTGGCATCCGGTTTATTTCTCAAATGTTCTTTTTTTTAAACATAGGTTTTTTTCTAAAACAAAACACCAGGTTATTTCACATGGGTTCGACTCACTCGGGGGCTGCTGTAAGGCCTCTTTCCGACAGCAGCGGGCAAAGGACCTCCTTCCATCATCCAGGCAGGAAAACTGAAGGAAAAGAGTAGAAGTTGAAGGAAGAATGGGAAAAGAAATGCCAAAGCCAATACATTTCAATTTATTCAATTTATTTCACGCACTGACGGTGAACTTCAACCCAGTCCCTCAACTCATTGAGAAGAGGCCCTAGCTAGCCTACCTCGCAGGGCTGTTAAGAGAGCCAAGCTCAGGCCTTCCAGCTGCTTGGCACTCCAATGCCCTCAGGCTTTCAAAGGACCCTTGCCATTGAAAGCTAGGGCCCTCCAATTGTTTGGCACTCCAATGCCCATAAGTCCCCACCAGGGCCTTCCCAACGACCCATGCCACTGAAACCCACCTCCCCTGATATATTTGGCACTCCAATGCCCATAACTCCCAACGGGGGTCCTTCCAACGACCCATGCCACTTAAACCCGGCCCCGATATAATTGGAACTCCAATGCCCATAACTCCCCACCGGGGCCTTTCCAACGACCTATGCCACTGAAACCTGACCCTCCCCCTATATATTTGGAACTCCAATGGCCATAACTCCACACCAGGGTCTTTCCAAAGACATATGCCACCGAAACCCGCCTCCCCTGATATAGTTGCAACTCCAGTGCCCATAACTCCCCACCAGGGCCTTTCCCACGACCCATGCCACTGAAACCCGCCTCCCCTGATATAGTTGGCACTCCAATGCCCATAACTCCCCACCGGGGCCTTTCCAACGACCCATGCCACTGAAACCCGCCTCCCCTGATATAGTTGGCACACCAATGCCCATAACTCCCCACCGGGGCCCTTCCAACGACCCATACCACTGAAACCCGCCACCCCCATATATTTGGCACTCCAATGCCCATAACTCCCCACGGGGGCCTCCCGAACAGCCCCGTCCCCAGCCCCACCGAGCTCAAAGCGGCTGCCGGGCAAGGTCAAACGGCCCCATCGCAGCCGACAAACGAGGCTCGACCTGCCGGACAGCCGCCTGCGAGGGGCGGATATTATTATTATATTATTACGGCCGCCGCGGCGTCGTTTCCCTCACCCGAAGCCTCCGGAGAGCGCCCCGGAACGCCCCGTCGCTTAGTAACCGCCGCCAGGCCGCCATATTGCCTGGTTGGAGGGTCAACGGGCGAGGACTTCCGGTTCGCGCCGCCGCGACTTCCTGTGCGGCGCGGAAAGCATGGCGGAAGCGCCGCGCGGGCAGGGAGAAGCGGAGCCCGTCTCCTCCGAGCTGGAGCGGTTCCTGCAGCGGCACCCGAGCTTGCGCGTCCTCCCTCCGGGGAAAAAGGTGATCGGCGCTCTCCGGTCCGGCGCTACGGAGCTCGGGGAGGCTGGGCGGGTTGGGTGGGAGACCACGCGGAGATCTCCAGGGAGGCGGGGAGGTTTGGTCCAAGCTGGGGACCAGTTAGAACAATTAATCAGTGGAACTGCTTGCCTCCAAAAGCGGTGAATGCTCCAACGCTGGAAGCTTTTAAGAAGAGACTGGACAGCCATTTGGCTGAAATGGTATATAGGGTTTCCTGCCTGAGAAGGGGGTTGGACTAGATGACCTCCAAGGTCCCTTCCAACTTTATTATTATTGTTGTTATTACCTCCGTTTGAATCAGGCAGGCTGTTCTTGAGGGCAGGTTGGCTTGGCGGCACCTGCCCTGCCTTGTCCGGCTTCGGCAGCTCGAAACAGCTTGGTGGAGGGGAGACCACTGGGAAATCCCTGTTGCCCAAGCTGGGAAGTTGCATGCGAATTGGTCTTGGCTTAAGGAGGCAGCTTTGGTGGAGAGGATGGCTTGGCGACACCTGCCCTGCCTTCTCCAGCCCGCAAAGCTCAAAACAGCTGGGCTGATGGAGGGGAGACCACTCGGAAATCCCAACGGGTTGCACCAAAGTGGAAAATTCAATTTGAACTGGTCTTGGCTTAGGCAGCCTGCTCTTGAGAGTTGTATTGGCTTGGCAGCACCTGGCCTGCCTCAGCTGGTCTCCAAAGCTCAAGAAGTCTGGGCCGATGGACACCTGGATGGGCCACCACTCAGAAATCCCAGGAACGACAGAGCTCCAGTCGAATCGGTCTTTGTTTACCCTGCCTTTCTCCTCCAGGTCCGCTGCACGTTGACCGGTCATGAGCTGCCTTGCCAGTTGCCTGAGCTGCAGGCTTTTACAGCTGGGAAGAAATACCTGCGTTTGAGCAAGGCCCCGGGTGTCTCGGACTACAGCGAGTACGAACCGCACATTGTGCCCAGCACCAAAAACCCGTACGTGCGGTTCACAAATGGTGTCCCAGCAGGGGGAATGGCTGAGTTTGTGCATTATGCTCGACCGTGGTTAGCTCAGACTGAGGTTTCTGCAGCAGGCAGCCTGGGATGGATTGAGTTCAAATCGAGCAAGCCATGGAACAAGTTAGTGGGATGGATTGATGGCAGAATTTGATGGGCGGTTTGTTGAGCTGCGGTGTAGCACAATGTGCTCAGTGGAGTGATCCAGTTTCCTCCTTCCCCTTTAATTACACACCACAAATAGCTGGGATCACAACCCAGCCAGATTAGAAGGTTATGTGGACGAATGATCATGTCTGTACAGTATTAATATTCAGTCTTTTTCATAGGTAAAACTTTTTCCTTCCTTCCTTCCCCTTTCCTTCCTTCCTTCCTCTTCCTTTCTCTTTCTTTCCTTTTTTTTTTCTTTCTTTCTCCTAGGAATCAACTTTTCTGCAAACTGACCCTGCGTCACCTCAATAAGATCCCGGAGCACGTTCTCCGTCACGTCCAAGGCCGGCGTTACCAGAAAGCACTTCGACGATGTGAGTTGGCAGTAGAGTCTTGTTTCTTTTTTTCATCCCGACACCAGCGTCTTTTCTCAAACGATTCCTTTGTTTCCTCTGGCTTCAACCTAGCCTAGGAGGTGGTTAGATCACGTGCTCCAATCCTTGATGGTGTTTCCAAAGGCAAAGAAAACTTCCTCCAAGGGGAGAGAAGCAGGCAAGGGGTGCTGGGTATGGCAGGATAGACTGCCCCAGACACAGGTTCTATTTAGCACTGATCGCTTGGAAAGGTGGAATGGAAAGGGCCTGAAATCTTTCTGACTGGATCCTTTTCTCTCTCCTCTTTATAGATGAAGAATGTCAGAAAGAGGGGCTGGAGTACGTCCCGGCTTGCCTCTTGCAGAGACGCCGACGGCCACGGCAAGACACGGGCAACGGCTTTGGCGCAGGGAAGGGGAAGCCTAGAGGGGGATTCTGGGAACCTCCCGCCAGTGATGAAGGGGGCAATGAAACGGACGACAGCCTGAGTGACTTGTACCCGGGTAAGTGAACTAGAAGGTCAAAATAACATCTGGATGCGAGCTATGATTTAGCAGGTCCTGGGTTTGCTGTTTTCCTCTGCCCACCCCATTCTGTTTCCTTGTCTGCTGTGTGCTTAAGAAAAACTCATCACCGATATTCCTAAGGGAGAGCCTTGTTCACTAAAGTTAGAAATGTTTTGCACAATGAACTAGACAAGAAATTCCAGCCTGTTTTGTGCATATCCCTTCTTGTCTTGGGTGGAGATCTGCCATCTTTGTATCTTATATTCCTGTTCCTTTCTCTCCCCCTTTTAACCTTTGACTGATAAATGCTTAACTGTAACTATGGTGAATGTTATTACTGTTTTTATCTTTTCAATGTTTCTGGTTTTAAATGTTTTCTAAGCCGCCCAGCGAGAAGGGCAGCACAGATAAACCCAATAAATAAATAAAAATATTTTACCAGGAATGGGAGCTTATTCGTTACTACAGCTATTTTCTAAAACCGTAACTTTTATGCCACCAGGGCTGGTTTCTGGAGGTGGAATTTGTAAGAAAGGTTCTGGTGTTGATTTTAAGGGATTTTTTTTTAAGGTTTACATTTAATGTTAAACGTTTAAACATTTAATGTTTAATGCTTATTTTCAAAGCTGAACTGTTCCCAGAAAAAAACGCCGCAGGCAAGGAGACCCCCCACGAAAGTATGAGCGACAGTGACGAAGAGTCCCCGAGGCCGGTGGTGGAAAATGGCAGCCAGATCGAAACGATGGAGGTTGATTCGCAGACAGCCACGAAAAGGAGAAAGGTAAATCCAGACAATTTTGACATTCGTGGTTGTGTTCATGCTCACCTTTTGCTAGGCTAGGTTAAGACTTAGGAGTTGCACGTGCTAAGCTTGGTTCCTTTTAAGCTCTGCTTACATTGCATCCGTTTCTGGACCGTGAGGGATTTGGGGATAGTCCCATTCCTTCCCACCGTTAATGCTATTTATAGATTAAAAGCGATTGCTGTTTTCCAATTCTTCACACCTTCGTTCTTATACAGACAAGACACTGTTCGCTCTTGACACGGTCCAGGATTTGCAGGTTTTAAATAACCTTTCTTATATTCCCAGGAGTGATCAGGTTAAATAAACGGTAATATTTTTAGTAGTAAGATAATTCTGGAGCTGAAGGTCAGACATTCCTCTGGTTTCCTTTTAAAAATCAGCTGAGCAGGGACAGCATATAATTCTGAACATCCCGAGGACTTTTTCTCAGCAACATATACAAGTACCAGACTTGGATTGCCAGTTAGTAGGTCTTTGCCCCATCCTCATGAGGCCTAGAAACTCCTTTAAAGAACCATTTCTTTACAAGTTTCCACTTACTGTCTGCCTTTTTTTCCCCCCCCTCTTGTCGGTCCAGAAACAAGTCACCCCTCAAAAGAAGAAATTCAAAAAGTGGAACAGAAAATCTAAAAAGCTTCGGAAGAGCCATTAACAGGAACTCAAGTCTTTCTGATGGGTCAAGCTCCAGTTTGTCTGTGCGGCGAGAAGACTATCATTAGCACTCGAGCATGTTGCATTTTATTTAAGCGTGGTCCTTTTTTTGAGGGTGTGTGTGTAAAATTGTATACATGTCACTGTTCTTCGTTTATATAAAGTTGTTCCAACTTTACTGCATTTCTGAATTCTTCACTTCAACAGTCAAGGGCAAAATTGCCACAAGGAAATCCGTTTCGTCAGAACCCCAAATTTTTATTCAACTGCTAATTCTGGTCGCCTCTAGGCAGCGAATAATTACAGATAAAGGCCAAATAATACTTGTTTTTCTAAGATTTTTCTTAGAAAGAGGGAGGGGGGGAACATTGCTCGTTTAAAAATTGCGATAAACAAGAGCCCACCTTAACAAAAACCAACAGCCGCTCAAGCGACTGCCTGGTTTCTAAGCTAAAAGTTGTGTGTTTGTCCTTGAACTTGGAAAAGAAGGCGCCACAAAATATTTTTCTGTTTTAACGTTCCCAACTCTGCCTTCCAGTACAATCAGATTAGAGGGTTGAAAACTTTTGTGCAGTATAAAATGTTTGGAGCAATGAAAGGTCACTATGCCGAGACAGCAGATACCAGGGAAGCAGGAGATAAATTATAACTAGTCCTCAACTTACGACAATGTACTGTATGTTGGTGAGACAGTTGTTAAGCAGCTTTTGCCCCATCTTACAACATTTCTTGCCAGCGTTGTTAACGGCCATTGTTAAATTAGTCACACGGTTAAATGAATCTTGACTTCGCTAGTCAGAAAGTCGCAAAAGAGGATCACGTGCCCCTTTCCCCCTCCCGGGACGCTGCAACCATCATAAATGTGAGTCAGTTGTCAAACATCCGAATTTTGATATAAGTTGAGGACTTCCTGTAGTTCCACTTCTGGCTAACACAGTTTTCAGCTCCAAGATGAAGCATCCAATTGACTTTGAAAGTTATTTTGATTATCTGCTCAGGGGAGCCATCGGTGGTAGCTCACTTTGCAATTATCTTGTTCAGAATCGAATCACAGCTTTGAAATACAGCTTGACTCACATTTATGACGGTGGCAGTGTCCCGGGGTCGTGTGATCTTTTGCGACCCGACAAGCAATGGAGAAGCCAAATTCACTTAACCCCCACATTACTAACTTCACAACTGCAGTGATTCATTTAACAACGATGGTGAGGAAGGACGTAAAACGGGGCAAAATTCACTTAAGAACTGTCTCACTTAACAACACATTTGGGGGCTGGGTTGTGGGCGTAAGTCGAGGATTACAATACATTTGTTGCAGGAGATATTCCCCGAGTTAAAAGGTGGCTGGAGAGACCCTGATTTTGCTCCGACTTGTCACAAAATGAGTATTTTCAAGTGCTGCAATAATGTAAAAAAATCTCTTTTAACTCTTTCGGCCTAACCATTAAGATTTATAACTTGGATGGTCTGTTCTCCATCTGGGATGTGATTTCATTTAATTACAACTTGAGCGTCGACCAAAAAAACAAAACAAAAACAACAACCCAAAAATACAAGATGGGACACCCATCACACTGAAAAGTACACAGCAAGGTTATCGGATCACAGCAGTTTTAAATTTAAGAAACAAAAAACAGTTGTCAAAAGAAATTCAGCTGTGGCAGACTCGGTGGCCGCTTCTTCGTTCCAATTTTTTTTTTTATCCAGGAGATTATATAAAAAAAAAATGCGAGAGAAAGACAAAAGTTCTCGAATGAAGAAGCACCTGGCAACGGGAATCAGATTATCGGCGCAGTCGTGAACTAAAACAACTTTTTTTTTAGAAAAAAAGAAAAAAGAGATTGTGCCTTTAAAAAAAGGGGGAAAGAAGCACCTTTGCAAATGCTTGCCAATGCTTGTAAATGTTTGGTTTTGAATTCCCAAAACTGTCGAGTCGGTCCCCGGATGCCGAGACGCTGTGTTCCTTTTTCTTTTTTCTTTTTCTCCCCTCCGTTCCTCCGTTCTTCTCTACCATTCCTTCTTCTTCTCGTCCATGGAGACGCCGCCGGGACCCAGGGCCACCACGAGAAGCAGGCCTCCGATGACCGACATGGTTTGGAAAAAGTCGTACTTGAGGAAATCGTGCATAGGCTTGTAGCCGGGGACAGTCCAGAAAGCGTTGAAATACAGGTTGATGGCAAAGAGCCAGATGACCAGAGTCAAGGCCGCCAGCTTGGTTTTGAACCCGATGGCCACCAGGATGATCAGCACCGTGCCCACCATGTTCTGCAGGATCTGCGGCAACCGGGAAGAACAGACCGTGAATGAGAGCTAGGCAGAAACAGACACAGAGCTAACCCCCCCCAAAAAAACCCCACTTAGCAACAGAAATTTAGGGACTCAATTGCTGTCGTAAGCCGAGGACTGCCTGTGTGCTTTGACGCTTACTCGGTCCAAATAAATCCCATAGAAGAGGAAATTTCATTTTGATGTATGCCGATTGGTGTACTTTAAAAGTGACAATAAAGTTATTATTATTAAACACCTGGAATTCGGATTTAATACCGTCTTAAATCTATAAATGCATCTATCCATCTCTCTGGTCAATTGAATAAACACATTTCTGTTCAATTTTAACATCGAAGGCTTTAACACCTCGCGTTTTGGATGTTGCGAGCCACCCAGAGTTACCATTTTAGAATTATAAATTATAATTATAGAATGATAATAATCATAAAAGCGAGGTCATGTGGCTGTGGGACCCTGTAAATGGCCCAAGCGCAGTCATATGACCATGCAGGGGACGTCTGTCGGAATTCCGAAACCGGGTGATCCCTTTCGAGGGAGGGGGGAGTCTGTCATAACATCAAACAGTTGCTAAGCGACAAGTCCTAATTTGAGGACTCCTTGCATCTTGTGGAACACCTGAGCTGATTGTATCTTCCAATTATGTTAGGCACTTACCGAAAAGAAGCTAACATCTAAATGCAGGAGGGTCATAAACATGAGGACTAGAAGCACTCGTCCCCCCAGCTGCATGTATTGCTTCGGGGAGCTTTCCCGCATGGTAGGTACTCCGGCAAACATGCTTTTTCCTTCCGACCGAGACTCCGCCAGCAGCAACAGCAAACCCCCTCCTAGAGCAAGATTTCTGCAAGGAGAGAGAGAAGAGACACCCCCCCCCAAAAAAAATTCGTAATATTTGGCACAACCAAAACTTGCAAAATCTTTTCACCCACGTCAACAGAGGTGGAAATGTTTCCAGACCACATTCCGTATCCTTCTGGGGGTTCCCTGTCTCCTTTGGGGGCCATTTTTAAAGGACTGTAAATTTGACAAGCAAGGCAGTTAAATTAAAGAGCCCGTTTTGTCTAGGTGTTAAGGCACCAGGGTGGAAACTGGGTGATGGTGAGTTCTAGTCTTGCTTTATCCATGGCCAGCTGGGTGACTTTGGGCCGAACACCAGGAGTCAGGGAGTTCCAGTCCTGCCTTAGGCATGAAAGCCGGCTGGGTGACTTTGGGCCGAACACCAGGAGTCAGGGAATTCTAGCCCTATCTTAGGCATGAAAGCCAGCTGGGTGACTTTGGGCCGAACACCAGGAGTCAGGGAGTTCCAGTCCTGCCTTAGGCATGAAAGCCGGCTGGGTGATTTTGGGCCGAACACCAGGAGTCAGGGAGTTCTAGTCCTGCCTTAGGCATGAAAGCTGGCTGGCTGACTTTGGGCCAATCACCAAGAGACGGTGAGTTCTAGTTCCATCTCAGGCACGAAAGCAGCTAGGTGACTTTGGGCCAATTGCCAGGAGACTGGGAGTTCTAGTCCCGAATTTTTATTTTATTTTATTTTTTTTCGGACCGGGTGCTACAAGATCGGTTCGCAAGGGGTTCTAAGCTCGGTTAGAATAAGTGTGTGAAGCAACGCAAAGTGAGACATACCTCATCAAAAACTTCAAGTCCCATAAAATGCTGTATGCAATTGTCTAGAAGGGGGGAGGGAGAAAAAAAAAAGACAAGACGATGAAAACCTGAAATATATTCAGAGCCCCATTTCAATCCCGTAGGGAATTCACTCCGTTTTCCGAGACAGGTTTTGGAAAGGAGAAATGGGCGCGGTTTCTCACCTGTAACGCAATAATTCCGAATAATCCAAAGCAGGCGTATTGGACAAAATTCCTGCTCAGCACCAGAATGCAACCGCCTAGGAGAAGAAGAAGAAGAAAAATGTAAGAATGCAGGTAGTCCTCAACTTGCCAACACAACTGAGCCCAACATTTCCGTCGCTAAGTGAGACAGAAAAAAATCAAATGTCCTTGCTCTGTCCACTGCAGTTATATGCCCATCAATAAAATATCAGCTAGTTTTCCACCCCGGAATCTGTCCACTCTCTTGAGCTAAGCCCAACAGGATGATGAAATGAGAGACAGTTTGGTCTAGTGGCTAAGGCACCAGGCTAGACAGCAGAGAGATCATGAGTTCAATTCCTGCCGTAGCCAATGAAAGCCAGTTGGGTGACTTTGGGCCAATCATCGGGAATTTGGGAGTTCTAGTCCCGACTTAGCCAATGAAAGCCAGCTGGGTGACTTTGGGCCAATCACTGGGAGTTTGGGAGTTCTAGTCCCGACTTAGCCAATGAAAGCCAGCTGGGTGACTTTGGGCCAATCACTGGGAGTTTGGGAGTTCTAGTCCCGACTTAGCCAATGAAAGCCAGCTGGGTGACTTTGGGCCAATCACCGGGAGACAGTGAGTTCTAGTCCGACCTTAGGCATCTATGCCATCTGAGTGACTTTGGGCCAATTCCCAGGGGACGGTGAGTTCTAGTCCCACCCTTAGCTGGGTGACTTAGGGCAGTCCCTCTCTCTCAGCCCAACCTACTTCACAGGGCTGTGGTTGTGGGGAAAAGAGGAAGAGGAAGGAGTGTTAGGCACGTTGGCGCCTTGAGCTATTTGTAAAAATAATACAGGTGGGATACAAACAAAGAAATAAAATGGTCTCCAGCTCCTGGGTTCCAGTTCCTGACTGTGCCCCCCCGAGAAACACAACTGGCGTAAACCCCGAACCCCCCCTGGGTCGCTTACTTAATTGCCCAAAGAGGTTAATGAAGACGAAGATGGAGGCCAGCACGTAGCCGCAGTTCCACGTGCTGTTGATGTAATCTCTCTGCTCGCTCCACTGGAACCACATGCGAATCCCGTCTTCCAGGAAG